GGCCCCCCCCCCTCTCTCTTTGCAGAATGCACCATGTATCTTCTTCGCTGCCCGACACGCCAGCTCTGCTTCCACGGTAGGTAGAGACCTCTGCCTCTCGCCTTGGGGGGAGGGGGGGAGGGTGCATGTCCCTGGCTTCTCCAGTCCAGCGGCTCCAGTGCTCTTCATGTCCTCGCCCCAAAGGGAAACCACCCCAGAGCCGCCGTTCAAATCCCGTCGCTGTCTGGCCTCCTTCGGAGGGATTTCTGTGCCACGCAAACCAGAGACCCTAACGGGCTCCGAGCGACCCTCCCTCCCAAGCAGTGCCAGGGGTAGCGATGCTAAGCTCCGCCGTGGGGCAGTGCTGCCCCTCACCAGCTCTCTTGTTCCCCCACCCCCCGACCTACAGAACCTGAAAGACGTCCTGGCCAACTTGGTTCCCAAGGAGCAGTCGAGAATCAAGAGCTTCAGGCAGCAATATGGCAACACGGTCATCGGGCAAGTCACTGTGGAGATGGTGAGTGTGGCCGGCGCGGGCCGGCTCACGCGGTCTCCGTTGGGTGGGGCTGGCGCTGGACACCTTGTTCTCTCCCTCACCCTAGAGGGGCCTTTACCCATAAACCCTGCGCCAGGCAGCCAGCCTAGCCCAGTGCCGCCCCTCCCTGCCACGCTGGATCAGTTCCACAGGCCCGTCTCGGCAGGCTCCCTTTCTTCCTGGATGGGCCCGCTGGGGTGTCTAATCTGGTGCCTCGCCCTGGCCGTGGCCAATAGCTGCTTCTAAGCCGTGTGGAAGCCCCCTTGGGTCGCAGTGGCCACGATGCACTGCTCTGGGCTGGGCACTCTGCTGGCGGTCGCTTTGCGCCAGGAAATCGAGGTGCGATCGCTGTGTCCTTAGCGAGCACCGCGTGAGACGGGGCGTTACCCAGGCAGGGTGTGGAGATGGGACGGTGGTAGCCCAGAGGCCTGCTCTAGTTCATACGGCGCAGCCTGGCGGCTCCACAGAGAGGTGGCTGGGGCTGTAACACCGCTGGGCTTGCGGGGTTGAGAGCCAACCGTCGGTGCTGCCGGAGACCCAGCCAGGCGGTTCAAAGCAGCACTGGGATCCCCGTGGAGCAGCATCTCTCCCTGCACCGGTCCCGCGGGGCCTGTGTTCAGGGGAGAGCAGAGCTGTGGCGGCCGGTGAAATTGGCGCTGGTGCCGAGAGGGGCCGCTCTGCTCCCCGACAGCGGGGAGACGACTCTGGCTGCAGCGAG